TTTTTTTTTTTTTTTTTTTTTTTTTTCTAATAATATCTATCGAGTCTAGGAACATTTTACAATGTACTAATATATTATAATATTAAAATCTTTAAATAATTGTTATTTTAAATGTTCATGGGCAAGATAACAAAATATTTGACCGGTGCATCGTTAGATGTTCCGATGCATTCGACTTTGGAAATACAAAAAGCGGTGTTTTAAGCGCCCTAGGCTCAAATAGATTCCTAAGTCATTCTTATGTCTAATCATAGAGATTAAACTTTTTCTCTAGTCTCGGACAGAGATAAAATATAATCGGTCTCTTAGAATAGTAACAATTACTTTTCTCATCATTTTTCACCCTCTAACTGGTAATCCTCCTATTTGCCCTACAAACAAACGATATTCTGAAAGAGGTCGACGTTTTCTAATTTTAATAGAACTTTTAAATCAGATGTTAAAAAAAAAAAACAGGATAAAAATTAAAAATATTATTTAATTTACAATAAATAATCAAAGAACTAAAATCATACCTGTAATTTTATCTTTTGTAATAATTATTTCATAAATAAACGAAAATTGTATTAATTTGTATTGTAAAAAATACAAAACTGAAAAAATAATTATTTCTTAATTAAAATACAATCGATATTACAACTATCTTTCAATGTTATATATTTTATACTTAAACATCATCATGATTAATAAATAAACAGATTATAAAGGTAAAAAAAATCATTTTCAATGCAACACACTTGTAAAAAACATACTTACGTAATTATTACCCTTGTAGATCAGTGTTTCGAGTTGGAACACGAGTGAGGTGGTATCCAATAAAAAATTACTCCCCCCCCCCAAAAAAAACACAACAAAAACCAGGAGGTCAATATCGTCGGTATTCAGACAACCTGTGACAACATATGCGACGTACGTTGGTCGTAATGCACATTGGTATTTCTGAAAGTGCATGCATTTACACACACACACATAGTCACATTTTCGAATAGTATGCATGCACATAAACACCATATGTGGTTGTCGTCGATCAAAGGGGGATGGTGGAGTGGGAGGGGGGTTAGACAACGCAGACAGGGCACACTGGAATAACCCCACATGACTCCACGCACGAAATACTCGCGCCGTTATACTCTTTTACTTTGAACCCCCATAAAAAAAAAGAGAGAAAGAGAATGTACCTGTGTATTTACAAGTACAAGTAAGGAACATATGCCAGCCGGTGGCAAAACGAGACTTGACGACACGTGGAAATCGATATTTTCGAGGTGGACCTGTACATTTTACCTGTATTTAACCCCTTCGTTTTGATATAAACGGGTTATTTCTTACTAACACGTATCAGGTTCGATTCTATCATTGAAAAAGTGTGCAAATGTACTACTACCAAAGAAGGCATAGATATAAATATATATGTACTTGTATTTCGAGTTTGATATACGAATGTATTG